TCAAAGATCTTTAATTGTACATCTTGCAAATCCACCATTAATAGAGATGTAAACGGAGCTCGAAATATACTTTTGAAATATATTACAGAAAAACAACAAGAGTCGTTCACGACGTTGGGGCTTACACCCGAGACACCTTATTGTAGGCTGTCTATGACTTGTACTTAGTATAGGTTCAATGTAAGAGGTTAGTATTATTTATTTTTTTAAATGGTTTAACATAATTAACGTATTATTTTGCACTCGTTTCATATTAATATTAATATTTTTTTTCACTGCAATACTTGAGTATTTGCATACTGCCCTCGCATTAGTTTTATCATTAGGATTATTTATTAAAATAAAAAATTCTCTGTAACGATGTAGATCAAGCATTCTTAATTTTTTTTGCTTGCTTCAAGTAAAGTGGTGTTTTTTTTTAGAAGTTTTTGCATTTTTATAACTCTCGGAAACATTCTGTTAATTCTGATTGGTTGATTTAGTATACGAAGTCATTTTACAAGTGACTAAAAAAATTATTAGATTTATAATTTTTATCGAAATTTGTTGCAATTAACAATAAATTAGAAAAATAAAAAAAAAATAGGAATCATTAATCTATTTATTTAAGTAGAAGTTTTTAAAAAAATATAAATATATAAAATATAAATGAAAGTAAAAAATAAATTAAAGAAAACAGGAAAAAAATTTACAATTTACACTTTTTACTTGTTGACAGAAATAAAAATCATTATTATACAAACCATTATTTTGGTCATCCATGATTTTATACCTTTCCAGTGACAAATGGATGCATTAATGCTTCTCTAACTGTCAATCTCTTTTCAGGATTTAAATTCAAACATTTTTCTAATAAGTCAACAAATGCATTTAAAAGGCGAGTTTCTTCTTCGGCCATATGTGAAGTTTTTGATAGAAGACGTGCCTTTAAATCCCTGGTTGGTTTTGTAAAGACAATGGGCTTTACTACCTCCTAAATTATATATAGATATAATTAATCAAATAATTATATATTTACATCTTTCCTATTATTTTTTAAAAAAGTAAAAAACCATTACCTTATTGCTAATTCGATCTGTTTCATGATATAAGAAATTTAAATCCTGGTCAAAATGTTGATCAACAAATTGTCCCTTACGAAGTATTTTGTTTGAAAACTTTCCTTTAAGCTCCATCATTAACTTCAACATTTGGTTATTACTTCGACCAGGAAATAGTATTTTGCCTGTGTAAAGTTCATAAAGTGTACATCCTACAGACCACATATCAAGAGAAAAATCATAAGGAAGTCCAAGGACTGGAACAAAAAATTTATATATTAATTAAATTTTCGATAAATCGTGCCATTTTTTTTTAATTAGTTGTAACATTCAAAAAAAACATACTAATTTCTGGAGCACGATAAAATCTACTAACAAGGTATGGTGTAATATCATTCTCAGATGCATCGGAAGCTGAACCAAGGTCACACATTTTCAGTGTATTTTTTGACTCACTCACCTTTTTATTAAAAAAAAAATTTTCCAAATCAAACAAAATCAAATTAATTTGAACTAAATAGGGGAAAAAAATTATATCTTACCAATATATTGTCGGGTTTGATGTCAGCATGTAAGATGTTGCACTTTTTTAAAAGAGATAATGACAAAAAGAGTTGTTGTGCATAAATACGTACAGCTTTAATATTAATACCAACATCCTTACCAAACCTTTTCAATACTTCTCTTAAATTCATGCTAATTAATTAAAATAATAAAATTTTATTTATTTATTAAAAAGGTGAGGAAACAAGTATGAGAGCAAATAAAACCTTTTATTAGTGACAAATACCTCAATGATTCAAATACTAGACACAAATGACCTTTATGTTCAAAATGTCTAAATAATCGAATTATGTGTTTCTTATGATCTGGATCTGCATCCATTATTTTCTTGAGGATATTTAATTCTTTTAAACCAGCCCGATACCTAGAGAAATTTAAAGTCAATATGGAAGATATTATTAAAAAAGAAAAGTTTAAATGGAAACCCACTTACATTGTTTCATTATTTCGAATGATTTTTATGGCTACATCAATGTTTTCTTTTGTATCTTTGGCCTTAACGACAGAACTAAACACACCTTTACCAAGATTATTGTGTACATGATATCGGTTCTCCAGCATTTCACCCAAAAGAACACCTATATAATTTATTAATATTAATGATAGAGTAATTATACTTTCTTTGACAATTAATCAACATCATTCATTCATTCATTGCTTACGATAATATCCTTCAGCATCATCATAATTATCAACGAGACCGGTAGCATGTTCATTAATAACAACAGGAACATTCTTGACGACCTAATATTTAAAAGATTTATAAGAAAAATTCATAAATAAAATATCGAATCAGTTTTTAATACTTACAGATGACATTAGTTGTGAGGTTTTGCGATTTAGATTTTCTGGAGAGGGTGCAAACATATCATCATCTGCAAACATATCAAATTCATTAGTAGACTTTTCAGCATTAGCTTGATTATTTCCATTTCTATTATTGAATGTCTCTTTATAGTCTGTAGCAAACATATCATTTTCATCACCGTCTTGTTTTATAACAGATTCTTGAGCATCTTTGGTTTTAAGCAATTCAAAGTCTTTTGCAGATTTATGATGTAACTGACGCTCATCATCTGCAATGCGGTCTTTTATTGGGTCATAATCTGCTGCTGAGAAGCCTTGATGATCTTCTCCAGGAATATAATCATCGGCTGAAACTTCAACTTTAGTTAGAGAAAAAGATATGGGTGTTTCAGTCGTGGGTGTCACCGGAGAGACCACAGTCGGAGTATCTGCGGATTGAGAATCTAGTTTTAGAATAATAAATTATCTAAATGTCTTGAATTGTCATCGAAACAATGAGTCAAAAACAATAATATCGATAAATAATTTACCTTGTATATCTGATTTATGTTCATTCTGTTCTATTGTTTTTGAATCTGAAAAAAGGGTGTTGTTATGATTAATTGTGGAATTATCAATTTTTTTATTTTTATGTTTCTGTAATATTGCATTCCTGTGCATTCTTCTTTCTTCTATTAGTTTTTCTTCGTCTATTTCATTCTCTAAACTTATATCTATTAAATCATCAATGACTTCTGCATATACCGACTCATTTTTAGATTTTGTTGAATTTTGGCCCTCCCTAATGAACATAGATACAAATTAATATTCAATAAATAAATGTATGTGTTTTAAACCAAATAGAAACATAAAAAAAATTCTATTTTTATATTTACTTATTTTTTGACCCATTAATTGAACCATCAAATTCATTTCTTGAGTTTATTCCATTTATATGTTCTTCATTGTTTTTTTTGGAGTATTCTTTATGACCCCTTTCTTTTTCATAACCTCTTTCATTACTATAACCCACATCCTTTTCTCTATAACTTGGTTCTTTGTGATTATAATGGTAATCTCGTTCATCATACCTACGTGGCATTTTGCTTCGTCGACTTAAACTGCGACTGCGTTCGCTATGATGTGAAGAAGATCGATGTCGAGAAGAACGACGGTGAGATGATGGGTGGTGGTGGTGGTGGTGATGGTGATGATGATGATGATTTTCATCTTCAGAGGAAAAGTCATCTCTACTGCGTTTATGTTTATGGGAAGATGCAGTAGAATGTTCATTACGATTCATGAAGAGATCGCTACGATTTTCGTCATCATCGACGATCATATTGACGGTCGAGTTTAAGTGGTTACCTAAACCGTCCTTACGACTTTTTTCTACTCCTTCACTTCCATTTTTTCGATCTAAATCATGATGCCGATGATGGCTACGATGACTACTACGTTCACGATCATCATGGTGGTGGTGGTGGTGGTGGTGATGTGAGTGCCTGCTTGAGTGACGGCGATGCTTACGATCTTCTCTACTCTTTTCGTCATTATAATTACTTTTATCCTGACTGTCAAAGGTTCCAGATTCATCAACAATCTCACCTTCTTCCATTTCAGATAATGTGAGTTTTGTGTCCATTAAGACCATTTTTTAAAATGATGAATTTTATTTATTTTGATTGATGGAAAAGATTGAAAGTAAAAAAAAATCAGAACTTGCTAAAATAGATTTTAAAAAGAAACACAAAAAAAAAATTTCGCCCAAAGTCACAAACTGAAAACAAAGTAAAGTCTACTGTTATATAAAAAGGATCTTTTATTCGACAATAAAATCGACAAAGTCAATGCTGTTTCAATAATTTATTTTCTCTATGTTATAATAAAAAAAATAGTAAGTATATGAAGGAAAAAAAATTAATAATATTAATATTTATTTTATTGTTGACCAATGGCGTCAAATATAATAATTATTTATTACGTAAGTATTAGGTGCGTCTATCATAGATATCAATCATTGTACATTTTTTTTTTTAATTTTTTATTAAAGATCACAGCCGAGTTATTTGTTAATTTTTTTAAAGAATGCAAAGGAAGCATCCGAAAATTTAAATCAAGATTCAAATCCCATTAGACCTGCAAATTCACTTAATATTAAATTTTCATATTTCATGGGATTTTGCAGAGCAAGTACATCATCTCCCATATTCTTCACAACAAGTGGTATGTATATATTTTTTATGATTTTATGAAAGGTAAATAAATCAAATTTAAAATATATTAATTGAGAAGTAGGGCAGTTCATTTTTCAAAGCATTATATAAAGTTCAAGTATTTGGTGTCTGTGAAAACTTTAGACCAGACAGGTAAGCAATTAAAATTTTCAATTGATTTATTATCTAGATTAATTATCTCATAGAAGAATCATGCAAAGGGGTCTTGGTGAGGAAGTAATAATCATTCGTGCAGATAATTGTTCAGGACAAAATAAAAACAACGCAATGATCCAATATTTGGCATGGAGAGCATTAACAGATAAACATAAAGAATCACATATTATTTTATGGTAACTGGCCATATCAAATTTAGCCCTGATGGTTTTTTTGGATTGTTTAAATCAAAACTTAAAAGTTCCAAAGTTGATGATTTAGAGCAGGGTTGTGGAATTTCAATGTACAACTGTACTTCATACAATTGAGTTTGTAAGTTTCATTGTGGTCATACACCTGTACAAGGAAATTTTACATATGTACATATGAACGAACATACAAACATACAATGTATTTGGAACAATGATTTTCTACAGTGATAAAATGTTACTTTGTAAAATCCTATCATAGTAATAATATCATTATTGTTATTAAGCTGTTAATCCTATTTACTATAATTAACGAATCACCAGATGTTGTAGTGGGTTGTAATACTAATTCATTGTCAGGAAATCCTTTATCCTTTTTATTTTATATTCTGTGGTACATTAAGAGTACATATCTAAATTTTTTTTAATAATAATAAAAAAATTACCTTTACATCATTTTTAATTATTATCAATTATTGAACTCATAATCACATTTTCAGTAATTAATTCTACAATTCTTTATTCTGATGGTTAAAGCTTTGAAAGATTACATCATTGAAACAAAACAAAAAAGTGGTTCTAGTAACAAATTATTAAACTTGGTGAAAAACAGTAATGAATTAAAAGCATGAGTAGATAAAATTGAACATATACTGCAACATTTTAGTGGTTGACAAAATTTTCATGTTGTGTATAGCCAAGAAAGAAAAAATTAAAATACCAGTTCTTAGCAATAATAATAATAATAATTTAATTTATCATATGAATTAATTAATTCCTTTTCTATTAAGATGTAATTCTACTTCATCTCAATCATCTAATTATGGTCCTTTTAGATAATTTTGTTCCAAATGAACTTATAAACATTGAAGATGATGAACTTTATAACTTAGATGTCCAAAGTATTGATCATCCAGCAGCGAGTTCTGGTGGAAAATGATACTAGAAAATTATATTAAAAAACGAAATTTATAAAAAAAATTTTTTTTGAAATTAATATTAATATGGTGCCAACCCCAACATTCCGAAAATTTAAATGATGATCTTCACGTGATTTGTCAAGTGAAAACATTTTTATTGGTCAAAATACCAAAATTATTTAACACAAAGAAATTTGGTTAAGAAAAAAAGAAGAACAAATACAGTAACAAGATCAACAATAATAGCAATACCATAAAAAATAATTATAATAATAACAATAATAATGGTGAAGAATTATGGTGTAGTTGGATATTGAATGGTATAAAATATGGTAACAACTGGAGAGACTTTTGTAGTGGTATTAGCAGTACTGACATTTGTCAGTTTGTTCCTAAAGAAAATTAATGCAAAGCTTAAACTGAATATTGAAATCAATAATCAGGCTACAGTCAAAGCTTGTTAAATTCATAGGTTCAGCACAGTAAATTTTATGAATTTATTGAATTATTCCAATTATTGAGATTTTATTATTACTATAAAAGGATAGGATTTTTATAAAAATGAATGGGATTGCCTACTTATATATGAATTTAAAGAGCAAGATTTCATATATGGTGACATATACAAAAAGTCAGAGAGTTATGAATTTATCAAATTATTCCAATTATTGAGATTTTATTATTACTATAAATATGAAATTATTGAATAAATTTTTAATACTTATACATATACTTGATAAGTCAGCCAAAATTTTCACCCATTTTCTTAATATTTAATTCGTGATACGTGATAGAAGTAGATGATCGGCATATTTTTAATAATAAAAAACGGGGTTAATACAGTCAGGGTTCTTTCCAAATTTGGAAGTAGAATTTATGCCACTTTGTTGATCAATTCATATATGTTTCATATGTTACAAACGAGCCAACGTGATACTTTGTACCTTTGGAAAAATTTTTTTTTAAAAACAAACCCTTATTATAATAATTGAAATAAATACCTTTAAACTTTTACTTTCTTAATCCACTAAA